TAAGTGAGACATACCCAGAATTTGCAATAATTCTGTCCCAATTGTGTTCTGCAAAATTAGCAGACCTTGAAATTATAATTCTTTTACTTCCATCACTAAAGCGATATCCTTTTGACCGTGGCTCATAGCCCACAAACCTGAGCTTTCTTGCCTTTCTTCTGATTGCTTTTGGAATATGTACCCATGCATTACTTCCAAAAATTCTCAAATGTGCGAGTGATGGCTTTCTCCCATATAGGCATATGGAGTATTATTAATGGAGGAACTCCACAGCCTGTTAACTATATAATTGGCAGTCAATATGGCTTCTCCCCAATATAACTTGCTCAAACCAGAATCCTCCAATAATGAATCTTTCATTGTTTGCAAAACACCATTCCTTCTTTCAGCTACACCATTCTCTGCTGCTGTGTAAGGATTTGTACGTCTGTGTCTTATCCCCAACTGCCCCAAACCATTGTTGGAATTTAGTTGACATAAATTCAGTACCTCTGTCAGTTTGCAACTGACACACTTGTTGTCTGTGCCTTCTCTCTACAAAACTTACCCACTGTTTGAATTGTTGTAGCACCTCTGTCTTATCTCTAAGCTATAATCATCAACAATTACCAGTGCATATTTCGCTCCTCCCAAACTGGCTTGCATAGGTCCCACCAGATCTGCATGAACCAGCTCTAGAACTCTTTTTTGTTTGTCTTGTGCTACATTTACTAACTGGGAATGCCTTTGACTTTGATGCTTTGCATACTGCACAGTCCAAATATGTTTTGCATCCCTTCAAATTTAGCCCTTCTGCAAAATCTTGCATTTGCTGCAAAACTTTAAAGCTTGCATGGCCAAATCTTCTATGCAGAAGATGAACACATGAATCATGCTCTGCAACATTCTTAAATATATGGGAACATTGAGCCTTTTGTCCCTGCAATACATATAGATTATCTACCTTTATGCCTTCTGCACAAATATTCCCATTCCTTTTGATGAGACATTTCCCATTTACAAAAATGACCTCAAAACCTTGTTTGTCTAAATTAGACACACTTAACAAATTATGTTCCATCTCAGGGACACAAAGCACATTGGTAAACTTTGATTCCAAATATGGAATTTTTACATCGCCTTTTCCAATGACTTTTGCTTTCTGGCCATTTGCCAAAGCCACAGCTTCTTATGCTACTGGAACAAACCTGCAAAATAATTCAGAGTCATTAAAAATTGTTTGACTTGCCCCACTATCAATTAGCCACTTGTCTCTGTTGTTGCTATTGCAAACTTTTGCAACACCAAAATGTTCCTTTTGCAAATCAGTCCTTTTTGGTTGCACAAATGTCCTTCGCTGCAAATAGTTCCTCTGCAAACAGTTTCTTTGCAAATGTGTCTTCGCTCCACAAATGTAGCAAGTCTTTTCCCGCAGAGCAGCTCTCTGCTTGCAAAATCTCTCCTTTGTTGCAATTTGGTCCGGTCAGATCTGCTTGTTTCTTCTCCTCTGGAGACTTGCAATCTGGACTCCCTCTTCAGGAATTTCTCCTCCTCGTGGCTGTTTCTAAAATGGCGTTTTTCCTCTTTATTAAGCAAACATGCCTTTAAAGTCTCAAACTTTAAGTCTTGCTCTTCTTTGCATTCAAATATTGCAGAAACTGTGTCCCAGGTTTTATCTAAACTGTTTAACACCAATAAAACCTTCTGGGACTCAGGAAATTTAATCCCACGTTGTTCTAAGTCCAAAAATAAAACTTTGCATTTTATTTAAATGCTGTTCCACAGATTCACCTGGTTGCAAACAGGCTCTGTAAAGTTTTCTTGACAATTGCACTATGTTGCAAGCAGAAACATTCACGTGCACAGCTCTCAATTTCAACCAAATCTCCTTTGCAGTCTTTAAATTTGCAACATTTAAAAATTGTGCATTATCTAAATTCAAGATGAGATAAGCCATTGCTGTATCATGATTTTTCTGATCAACTGCTGCAAACACTTGTGGTGGATTTTCAATAATATACCACAGCTCTTTAGCTTTCAGCAAACATTCCATTTTTGCAGCCCATATAATGTAATTCTTCTGGCCCAAACTAGGCACACAGCTTTCTTTAAATTCCATTGCAGCCATTTTGCTAATTCTGCCTTGTTCTTAAATTTTCTAAACACAGGCAATTTCTTCCAGCTTTAAATTACAATGCAGTCCTTAGTAAGCTCTGGGCCCATAACCTGTTAGAGAATTTTAATTTCTCTATTGGTGAAAATTAAATCAGAAGCTCTCACAGTTGACTGCATTTAGCTGATTCAAATAACTTTATATTTATATAAAAATATTTACAATACCATTCTTCTTTACAGCAACATAGCTTAATGAAGATTTCTTACAGAGACAGACCAGAGATAAAACCTCGAGACTGGAAATCCAGCTCCTAACTCAATACTCTTTTTGCACAGGCTCAGTAGCACTTTCTTCCCATTGGCTGACTGAGTTACCACATGACTCTTCCTGTTCATGAATATTCCAACACATATCTTAGTTAGCTGACTAGCAAAAAGTTCATCTATTTCCTGTGTTTGGTTGGGAGGCTTATAGTGTACACCTATGGCAATGTCGTTCCCCCCCCCCCCTGGTTTTATATTGATCCATATGCATTCAGGACAGTTTTCATCATTGTTGTACTCTATTTCTGTGGAGATGTAGTTATTTCTTATATAGAGAGCAACTCCACCTCCTCTTTTATTTGATCTGTTTCTTTTAAATAATTTAAATCCCTCTAGCTGTGTGTTCCATTTGTGGGTTTCATCCCACCATGTTTCCGTAATGGCAACAATATCATATCTGCCCTCATTAACCTGAATTTCTAGTTCACCCTGTTTGCTGTTTATACTCTGTGCCTTGGTGTATAGACATTTGAGTCCTTTATGACCGACCCTGTGTTTACTTCCTACATAACCTGTGTGGTGCCTGAGTTCCTCTAATGTCTTACCACCTATTTGGTTAGTGCACTTTGTGTGGCATTCGCTATTAGGAGCTTGATTTTGCTTGACAGCAAGGTTGATGTTCTTGCCCACACACACATCTATGTTACATGCACTGATAGTCCTATAATTTTTAGATTGCCGGGGACAGGGATGTTCTGTATCAGTTAGCTCACTGTCCCCGCTGTTTAGTTTAAATATTCCTCCAGAAAATCTGTGAATTTATAGCCAAGTAACTCAGTCCCTTTCTTTGGATGCAAACCATCTCTTTTGTACATGTTTTCATTGGACCAGCTGCTGATATCGTGATTAATATATCCAAAGCCTTCCCCTTTATTCCACTCCTTTAGCCACATATTGAATTGTGCTATACGCTGGCCTTTTCCATTTTGGTCCTTATGCACTGGTAAGACCTCTGAAAAAAATAAGCCTACAGCCTATTCTGCTAAGTTCCTGCCCTGGGCTCTGGAAGTCATTCTGCACAGTGAGTACATCTTTTTGGGACAGATCGTTAGTGCCAAGATGTACAATAGCCTCCATATCACAATCCTTGCTGGCATTCTTGATTATTTTACAAATACGCTTCTTGTCCCTACTGGCAGTAGCACCTGGAAGACACATGACCTCTTTCGAAACCTCTGTCTCCTTTCCTAAATTTACATCCCTTATAATTGAATCATCAACCAGAAGGTGGCTTCTCTTTTTGGGTGCCTTTCTGTTCTTGCATGACTGATGTATAATACCTGATTTGCACTTCTCCCTGTCGAAAACAAATTCTTTATCTCGGACCAAGATCCCCTGCTTATTTGAGTTATCATCACAAATACCTTTACCTGTCTCCTTAATTTCCCTATTAAGGTCAGCAAGGGCACTGTATCTGTTGTGCAGGGACACAGCAAAAGCTTTGTGCTTATGGTTCACAGCTCTCATACACCTAAGGTGTATGAACTTCAGCTCCCAGAATTCCCAGCATTGGAGACTTCGGGAAGTAGAAGTCCACACATCTTAAATTTGACAAAGTTGAAATATCTTGACCTATAGTAAGACCTTTCAAAATGTGTGCCAGAGAAACTTTGCATTCGATAAGAACATGATATGCCTCTGAGAGAGATTAAAAGAGAGAGAAAAGTCACTAAAATGTAGAATGTTCTATTGCCAGAGTTCTATATTTTTTTTAACAAATTCCTTGGCATGAAAAAGTTTGAAAATCGCTGATTTAGAACACAGTAGGATGGAGAGTGATTTTTGTGAGTTTTTCTAACATTTCCTTAAATAATTGAGAGCTAGAAATCATTGTGGATTATTGCTAGATCTGTGTCTATCTTTGGCCTGCCTTTTTCAACTTTCTTTTTTTTAATGTACTTTATTATTTTGTTATAATAACATTCGTTAGTGCTTAGTAAAAAGCGTGTTGTCTAGATTCAATGTTTAAAAAACTCATGATTAATTTTATAATTCCATAATATGTTAATTAGTGATATATTTCTTTGATCTTCTCTTCATGCAATGGTATTCTTTTATCAACATTTAGCAAATATTCTTAAAATTCAATACATATAAAGATAAATATAAACCTTTTTCTTACATTTATACAAATAACAGTAACATTAGCATATAACATCTTTTTTAAAAATCTGTTTATATTTCAGTTGTATTTATAGTAATCATCTTATTAAATTAAGGCCTGCCTTTTTCAACCTTCTGAAATGCTTTACACTTTCTGCTAAATCTTTAATGTGAAAGGAAGAGGCAGGAGGCCCAGGTGCCATCTTGTCAGTGGGGTAAAGTAACATGGCAAGAAAAGAAATGTACTTTGATATCCATTTGCTCATCCAATAAATCAAGCATCCTAAATTGGTGCCTTCCAGATGGATTGGTATATAAGTCATTTTAGCTTCAAACTGATGGAAACTATAGTCCAGTGCACTTATTGGGACAGTAAAAACTGCTAATAACTTCAGTGGACAAATTTTCTTGTATATGGAGAAAAATGGAAGTTGGTTTTACATACTCTTAACTTCCTTTATCTTCTGTTTCTTGTTTAGTTTCTAAAATGCCCTGCCAAGGCCATAAAACTACAAAATGCACTTCTGTTCTTTCAATATGCACCCCAGTCAAGGACTCGTCATGTCTTCCACTCTCAATGGACTACAGCACACTAAACAGGAGCCAGTTGCAACTGCATTGTAAAAAGCTGGGTCTTCCTGCCACAGGAAAGGTGAGAGAAGATTGTCCCAGATTTCTGTCTTATTTTCTCACCACTATTGATGATTATATGAGAATCTGTATTTGCACAGTTGCAAACTCCTATGTGATTATCTCTTCCATTGAAAAAATGTCCGTTTATTGAATTGTTTATTCAAAAGCAATTGCATTCACTCTTTTATTTTGCATTATATTTTTATATTAGCTTTCTCCAACTCAATCTCATTTAGATATGTTGGATTATGGTTATTGCTTTATTTATTGCATTTGTACACCTTGTGCTCAATATATACATCTCATCATGGTGGTTTGTAAAGCATTGTGGCTTTATTTGAACTAGTTTGTTAGATTTGTTTAACAAAATACACTTGGAATTAGTGGGAATCCATCTGTCTTTTAGGTTTGATAGAAGAGTTATTTCTATGAAACGTAGGTGGGTTCCCTCATGCCTGCAGAACCCCATCAGCTTTGACATTGTGAATTGCCAATAGGTTCTTTCCCCTCCTTCTGATCCTGCCAGCAAAGGTGTCTGATATCACTCTGAGGATCATTGAAGCTACTGAACTGCCAGATAAATGTAATCATTTCATGAGAGGACTAAACTCCTGACATTAATTCTTACATCCTCCTATTACTGCAATTGTTATTTTTTTCTTCTCAGAATGTTCAACTTATAGAAAGGCTGGAAGATTATCATGAAAAATCTTCATTGAAAATCGCTTGTAATAAAGAAGAAACAAACAAGCCAGAAGAAAAATCTGACAATCTTGGGGTTAGTTCCGGATATAGGTTAATGGGATTTCAGGAGGGGGACTTTATTTATTTGTTAAATTTGTTTGCCTCCTGTCTTGCTGTGAGGCTACTCTAGGCGGCTTACAATAATAAAAAGGACGAAAAATAAAAGGAGTGTAAACAGAACAGAAGTAAAATAATAGAATAAAATAAGCAATGACAAAGGAACACAATGAGAATAATACATCAATATAATAACCAAAAAGATGGATAGGTGGAGAGCAGAGAGTAAGCACGAGGGGGGGGGGTGAAGTCTGTCATCAATCTAGCAACCACCTCTAGTGTGGAATTCCCTCATCTGGTCCTCAGGCCAACCAGCAAAGCCATATCTTCAGGCTCATGTGGAAAAATAGGAGGATATGGGCAGATCTTACCTTAGAGAGTAAGATGTTCCAAAGGGCAGGCACTCTAGCAGATAAGGCTCTTCTTTTGAATCCTGATATTTGAAGTATTTTGACTGACAGGATCTGAATTAGATCCTCTCTACTGGCTGTAGTAGAACGAAATATTACTAGAAAGAAGAAATGATTAGAAAGGAAGTTGATAGAAACAATAACTTTGCTTAGAAGGACCAGGGCTTTTTTTTTTTTTTTTTTTGTCATAGAACGCCCAGAACGGAGTTCTGGCACCTTTTTTGGATAGAACCTTGTAGGGTAGGCAAGGCGGGTAGTATGATGTGTGTGAGTTCTGGCACCTTTTTTTTTTTTTTTTTTTTTTACAAAAAAAGTACTGAGAAGGACAATACCTGGCAACTCTAGGTGAGGAAAAATCAGGTTTTTTTTAACAATGGAGGCAGACTTCTAGCTATAAATTGGTGAAAACAATTGCCATTTAACATTGGTGACATTTTATTGTATGGATTGGTAGTCTGCCTTAGCAAAAGGTAGCTTCATATACTGTTTTCTGAGATAGTGAAAATAAGCCTTTCCATGAATACATATTGATAAATTTCTCATGATTGTTTCTGACTATAAAAGTTTCATTTAGCTATTTTATCTCTGAATAGTAAAAGATAGTAGTGCCTTGATGTTCTATCTGTGAGCATTTCAAATGTAGCTACGTATCTTTCACAGTTGATTTAGAAAGTCTATTCTATAATATTGCTAATTCTGATACCCACTTGCCCTTTCAGACTCTTGTGAAGACCCCTTCTCCAGACATGACCAAGAATATAAAAACAGGAACCTCTGAAGAGAAAACAGGTGATCAGATCTTGGATGGTAGGAAGAAGGGAAGAAGCCAGGGCAGAAATAAAAGCTTAGAAATAATAATGGATTGGTTGAAATAATTTGGGACTGTGTTCAAAATGATTAGATTCCACAGAACAGAATTAAGGAATACTAATAATACCAGATCTTGAGTCAGCCTTATTTATCTTTTAGATATGGTCCGTGGTTGGTGTGTGGTCCATGGAATGGTGCTGGACTGTCCAGCATCCAGCTGGGTTCCTTTGTTACTTCACAGAGGCTTGGTTTGTGTCCAGGATGGAGAAAATATAGTCCCTTTTCATCTATCACCATTGAATATTCCTGTACCTGAGGGATTGTTGGACAACTATATCTGCATGGATTGCGTGCTCAGGTACAATTATCTACCCTCCTTATGCATCCTCTGTCTCAAGAATGGAAAATGAACTTCTCATATACTGTTCTCAGCATCCTTTCTTATTGTCTGTGGGTGCAAGTACAGCTGTTGAGATTCTAGTTCAGGGCTTGCTGTTTAATGCCTTACTGATTTATTATAGGAACCAAGAGAAACCAAAGAAATATTCCATATGCCAGCAAATCCAAAGAAAAAATAATAGAGTTTATACACCCCAGAGTGCTTTAAAGAACTCTCCCCCTTTGAGGAAAACCACCTCTTCTTCATTCCTTGCAACTGATGGTGCTAAAGAAAAAAGGTGAATTGCATGTTTAAGGAACTACCAATCTCCAGAGTATTAGTAGGTTAGGGATTATAGTGATAAACATAATAAACCTTAACTTAATGAACCATTTGTGGGAAGTAGTGTGCATATAAGCAAAATTGCCCTTAGGTATAAATTTATCTAATTTGCATGAATTATGTCATTTACACAATTATATAGTAAGTTACATCGTCTGCATATATATTCAGATATATAAATTGCATCATTTACATTTCTAGGTTTAGGAAACAAAAGAATTTGTTTGCAGATAAGTCCAAATTAAAATGTAGTTTATTATGATATTGGAACTTTCAGTTGTTTATGAATACTAGTGTATTTTTTAAAAAAAATCAATGAAAAATTGAAATGCATATAAAAGATTGTTTGATTTTTGTTTTATTTAAGAATTAAAATAAGGATTTACTTTTTATTAGAACAAGAATATCATGCTGATAACAACATCCTAACTATTCTTTGCCTCTTTCCTACTCAGTGTAACTTATATATGGATAAAAGCAGTCTGCAGTCTCCAGGTTTGAAGCTCACATAAGTATCTTAAATTTGTTCAAGGAAGATTGGAAATATCATCAGCGCTAAAAAGAGAAAACCACCAAGATTATTAGATTGTTGTTGTTGTTGTTAATTGCGAAGTCGTGTCCGACCCATCGCGACCCCATGGACAATGTTCCTCCAGTCTTCCTGTCCTCTACCATCTTCTGGAGTCCATTTAAGTTCACACCTACTGCTTCAGTGACTCCATCCAGCCATCTCATTCTCTGTCGTCCCCTTCTTCTATTGCCCTCAATCTTTCCCAGCATTAGGCCCTTCTCCAGTGAGTCCTTCCTTCTCATTAGGTGGCCAAAGTATTTGAGTTTCAACTTCAGGATCTGGCCTTCTAAAGAGCAGTCGGGGTTGATCTCTTCTAGGACTGATCGGTTTGAACGCCTTGCAGTCCAGGGGACTCGCAGGAGTCTTCTCCAGCACCATAGTTCAAAGGCCTCAATTCTTTGGCGCTCAGCCTTTCTTATGGTCCAACTTTCACAGCCATACATTGCAACTGGGAAAGTCCATGGCCTGGACTATACGCACTGTTGTTGGCAGCGTGATGTGTCTGCTTTTTAGTATGCTGTCTAGATTTGCCATAGCTTTCCTCCCCAGGAGCAAGCGTCTTTTAATTTCTTGGCTGTAGTCCCCATCTGAGGTGATCTTTGAGCCCAGAAAAATAAAATCTGTCCACTACCTCCATTTCTTCCCCATCTATTTGCCAGGAATTGAGAGGGCCGGATGCCATGATTTTGGTTTTCTTAATGTTGAGTTTCAAGCCAACTTTTGCACTCTCCTTCTTCACCCGCATCAAGAGGCTCTTTAGTTCCTCTTCACTTTCTGCCATTAGCTTGGTATCATCTGCATATCTTAGGTTGTTGATATTTCTCCCGGCAATCTTAATTCCAACTTTTGATTCATCTAGCCCTGCCTTTTTCATGATGTGCTCTGCATATAAGTTAAATAGGCAGGGCGACAGTATACAGCCTTGCCGGACTCCTTTTCCAATTGTGAACCAATCAGTGGTTCCGTGTTCGGTTCTCACTGTTGCTTCTTGACCCGCATATAGGTTTCTCAAGAGACAAATGAGATGGTCTGGTACTCCCATCTCTTTAAGAACTTGCCACAATTTGTTGTGATCCACACAATCAAAGGCTTTTGCATAGTCAATGAAGCAGAAGTAGATGTTTTTCTGGAACTCCCTAGCTTTCTCCATGATCCAGCGTATGTTGGCAATTTGATCTCTAGTTCCTCTGCCTCTTCGAAATCCTGCCTGTACTTCTGGTAGTTCTCGATCCACATACTGCTGGAGTCTAGCTTGTAGGATTTTAAGCATAACTTTACTAGCATGTGAAATGAGTGCAATGGTGCGATAGTTTGAACATTCTTTGACATTGCCTTTCTTTGGAATTGGAATGTAAAGTGACCTTTTCCAATCCTGTGGCCACTGTTGAGTTTTCCAAATTTGCTGGCAAATTGAGTGTAGCACTTTTACTGCATCGTCTTTTAAGATTTTGAATAGCTCAGCTGGAATACTGTCACCTCCACTAGCTTTGTTGTTGCTCAGATTTTCTAAGGTCCATTTCACTTCACATTCTAGGATGTCTGGTTCGAGGTCAGTGACCATCTCATTGTGGTTATCTGGGACGTTAAGCTCGTTCTTGTATAGTTCTTCTGTGTAGTTTTGCCATCTCTTCTTAATCTCTTCTGCCTCTGTTAGGTCCCTGCCATTTTGGTCCTTTATCATGCCCATCTTTGCATGAACGTTCCCTTCATATCTCCAATTTTCTTGAAGAGATCTCTGGTCCTCCCTATTCTGTTGTTTTCTTCTATTTCTTTGCACTGTTCATTTAAGAAGGCATTCTTATCTCTTCTAGCTACTCTCTGGAATTCTGCATTCAATTGGGTGTATCTTTCTCTTTCTCCTTTGCCTTTCGCTTCCCTTCTTTCCTCAGCTATTTGCAAAGCTTCCTCAGACAGCCATTTTGCTTTCTTGCATTTCTTTTTCTTTGGGATGGTTTTAGTTGCTACCTCTTGTACAATGTTGCGAACTTCCATCCATAGTTCTTCAGGCACTCTGTCTATCAGATCTAGTTCCTTAAATCTATTTGTCACCTCTACTGTATATTCATCAGGAATATGATTTAGTTCATACCTGAGTGGCCTAGTGCTTTTCCCTACTTTTTTCAATTTAAGCCTAAATTTTGCAACGAGAAGCTCATGATCTGAGCCACAGTCAGCTCCTGGTCTTGTTTTTACTGACTGTATAGAGCTTCTCCATCTTTGGCTGCAGAGCACATAGTCAATCTGATTTCTATGTTGACCGTCTGGTGATGTCCATGTGTAGAGCCGTCTCTTGGGTTGTTTGAAAAGAGTGTTTGTTATGACCATCGTATTCTCTTGACAAAATTCTATTAGCCTGTGCCCTGCTTCATTTTGTTACTCCAAGGCCAAACTTGCCTGTTATTCCGGTTATCTTTTGGCTTCCTACCTTAGCATTCCAATCCCCCATGATGATAAGGACATCATTTTTTGGTGTTAATTCTATAAGGTGCTGTAGGGCTTCATAGAACCGGTCAATTTCATCCTCTTCAGCACCAGTGGTTGGGCATAGATTTGGACTACTGTGATATTGAATGGTTTGCCTTGGATTCGAATTGAGATCATTCTGTCATTTTGGGGATTGTATCCCAGTATTGCTTTTCCTATTCTTTTATTGACTATGAAGGCTACTCCATTTCTTCTGAGGGATTCTTGCCCACAGTAGTATACCTGATGGTCATCTGAGTTAAATTCACCCATTCCTGTCCATTTTAGTTCGCTGATTCCTAAGATGTCGATGTTCAGTCTTGTCATCTCTTTTTTGACTACGTCTAGCTTGCCTTGATTCATGGATCTTGCATCCCAGGTTCCTATGGAGAAAAAATCTTTACAGCATCGGACTTTCCTTTCACCACCAGATATATCCACAGCTGAGCGTCCTTTTGGCTTTGGCCCAGTCGCTTCATTCTTTCTGGCGCTACTAGTACTAGCCCTCTGCTCTTCCCCAGTAGCATATTGGACACCTTCCGACCTGAGGGGCTCATCTTCCAGCGTCATATCTTTTTGCCTTTTAGTACTGTCCATGGGGTTTTCATGGCAAAGATACTGGAGTGGTTTGCCATTTCCTTCTCCAGTGGATCACATTTTGTCAGAACTCTCTGCTATGACCTGTCCGTCTTGGGTGGTCCTGCACGGCATAGCTTAAAGCTTCATTGAGTTACACAAGCCCCTTCGCCACGACAAGGCAGTAATCCATAAAGGGGATTATTAGATTAGTGATGGCAAATTACTGATATTGCTGATACTATAGGCAATCATAGTAATATGGTCTATTTCTGATTTTAAAAAGCAAATACAGATTAGGACAGTGTTTCCCAAACTTGACAATTTTAAGGCATGAGGACTTCAACTCCCAGAATTCCACAGCCAGCTGGCTGTGGAATTCTGGGAGTTGAAGTCCTCATGCCTTAAAATTGTCAAGTTTGGGAAACACTGGATTAGGAAATCAGATAAGTCCAGTTGAACCTGGAGGCTTCTTATTGCTCACTTTTCCTTTAACTACTCTTGCCCTAAAAAAAGACCTGCTGTATCCTGCTGTTTTTTAATCACAACTCTGTCTTCTGAAATGTGGGTAGAATACTGTGAATATTATAAATATTGAAAAAAATTACACCATCTATTCTGTTCAAGTGAAAAAGTTGTATTTTTGTTTGTCATTAAAATTTTATATTTTCAAATACTGGAGTTTCATAGTGGTTCCAGTTAAAACATATAAATGACTAATTATATTAAACTAACATACATTAGTTAGTTTAAAAACCTGTTCAACAAAACACTTTTTACACTCTGAAATTTCAACAAGAAAGTTGAGTCCCTGAATTTGATTAGGAGCACATTCGATAGACCAGGTGGCTGTAGAGTCAAGTCACTCATAGCTTAGGTGACCCACTCCAGAGAACTTTAATGAACAGGGAGGTTGAAGATAGTAATAATGATATCAGATAATCATTCTCTAAACTAAAATGAGCTTAAGTAAGCATTTTTTCTCCTGAAATATTTTTTTTCCTGAATTAGATGCATAGACGGTGGAATATGTTTACATGCATAATCCTCAATTAATGACTACTTGTTCAGCAACCATTCAAAGTTAAGATAACACTGAACTAGGAGACTTATTTGTTTGTTTGTTTATTTAATTTTTACTCCATCTTTATTTCTTTATAAGTAACTCAAGGCATAAAAATGTTACTAATACTCCTTCCTCCTCCTATTTTCTCTACAACAGCAACCTTGTGAACTGAGCTGGGCTGAGAGACAGTGACTGGCCCAAAGTCACCCAGCAGATATTTACTACTGCTCCTTGTTGTTATGGCCGTTGTAGCATCCCTACAGTCAAAACAATTGCCACTCAAACTTTTGGCAACTTGCTCACAGTTACAATAGTGGCAACATTCCATGGCTCACATGATCCCTCATTGTGACCTTTACTGCCAGCAAAATTAATCAGAAAGCTGGCAGGTCAGAAATAACTGCCACATGACATCACGCTTTATGATCACATTACTTAGCAACTGAGCTGCCGTTCCTAATTACCAGCAGCAGTGAATTGTTAAGTGAGGATTGCCTATATATAAAATGCTTATGCAGCAGAACATGATACTACAGATATATATGTTATCCAGGAGAGGATAAGATATAAAGAAAATTCCAGATCCTTTCAGTCACCATTTCTCCTATCACATTCTTAACTTAACAATAAGTCAGGCTTTCGTTTTTATATACAGAGGAATAATAATTAGAAAGGTCTTATTTTACAGTAACTTGGAGGAATGACATTGCATCACTTGGCTAATACCTCTTCTTTCACATTATCCTTTACCTGCAGAACTATAGAGATTAAAAAGCTATATCAGCCCCAAGAGGACCAGGCCTATGCTCAGCGGGTAAGTGTCAAGCAGTAGGGGGGGGAGGTGTTACCAAGTCCTCAGTAGTAGCATTCTGCTTGTATGGCTGCTTAGAGAAATTCACTACAACAGTGGTGTTTTGATTTAAAAATGGTTTAAATAAATTCATGAAGAATATCAGTGATCATTAGTCAGGAAAATATATTCTAAATCAGACAATAAAACTCTTCAGTATTGGTTCATTAGGAAGATACTTGAGAAAGTGTCCTTTTGTTTTTGTGGGCTCCTCATAGACTTCTCATTTATTTATTGGGTGGCATAAATTTGATCCAATATTGTGAGGCTTTTAGGGGCTTCTCTTTCATTCCCAAACTTGATGCTGTCCCGTATAGGAATATATGTCTAAGATCAGCTGTTCCTTTCTCAAATATTTTCGTCATTTTAACCAGTAATCTAGTCTGGTTGATTTGCAGATAGGAAAGGAAGAAGCTTCTGTATCAGATATGGATATAACTCATTTCCAAAAGGCTATTTGGATAGCCTAATAATTGATTAATAATATAACCTAATAATCACTTCCCAATTATTAGGAATATATAGCCTACTAATAGCCTAATATCACATAGCCTAACCATCACCTAATAATTACTTCCCTCCATGTAGGTGTAGTATCATTAAGGACTATGCATTGTGTAACTAACTGACAAACCATACACAAGAGTGATCCTTAATGGTACTAGATCCACATGGAGGGAAGTAAGTAGTGGGGTACCACAAAGTTCTGTCTTAGGCCCAGTACTCTTCAATATCTTCATAAATGACTTAGATGAGGGATTGAAGGGGAACTCAACAAATTTGCAGATGATGCTAAACTGGCAGGAATAGCCAACACCCCAGAAGACAAACTCCGGATCCAAAAACGATCTTGACTTGAACAATGGGCCCCATCCAACAAAATGAAATTTATTGTAGAGAAATGCAAGATTTTACATTTAGGCAGGAAAAATGAAAGATATAAGTACAGATTATGTGAAACCTGGTTCAAAAACAGTAACTATGAGACGGATCTTGGGTGGGCGATCACTTAAATATGAGCCAGCAGTGCACTGCAGCAGCCCAAACAGCTAATGCAATCATTGGTTGCATAAATAGAGGCATAGAGTCAAATTACATGAAGTATTAGTACCGCTTTATAAAACCTTACTAATACACTTGAATATTGCATCCAGTTTTGGTCACCACATTAAAAAAAAGATGTTGAGACTTTGGAAAAAGTGCAGAGAACTGCAACTAAGATGATTAAAGTCATGGAAACTAAAACATATGAAGAACAGTTGCAGGAATTGGATATGGCTAGTCTAGAGAAAAGAAGGATTAGGAGTGACATGATAGCAGTGTTCCAGTATTGGAGGGGCAGCAATAAAGAAGAGGGAGTGAACTTATTTTCCAAAGCACCAGAAGGCAAGACAAGATGGATGGATGGAAATTATTCAAGGAGAGATGCTACCTGGAATTAAGGAGAAACTTCCTAAGAGTGAGAACAGTTTAATCAGTGGAACAGCTTGCCTTCAGAAGTTGTGGGTGCTTCGTCGTTGGAGGTTTTTAAGAAGAGACTGGACAGCCACTTGTCTGAGGTGTTATAGTGTCTAGTGGCTTTTCAACCTTTTTACCCATTGTACCACTTTTAGGATATGGCAATATCCAAGTACCATCAGTCGCCTAGCAAGGTGTCAAAAACTTGATGATCCTCCCCCAAAAAAGGAAAAAAGTGATAAAGTACAGATACTCCTCGATATACAACAGTGAATGTTTGAAGTTATAACAGCACTTAAAAAAAGTGACTTATGACCATTTTTCACACTTATGACCATTTCAGCATTCCCAGGGTCATGTGATTTACATTCGGATGCTTGACAACTGATTCATATTTATGATGGCTGCAATGTCATGTGATCCCTTTTGCAATCTTTTGACAAGCAAAGTTAATGGGGAAACCAGATTCACTTAACAACCTTTTATATCAGGTGTCAAACTCAATTCCATTAAGGACCACATTAGCACTGTGGTTATCATCGGGGGGGGGTCTTCCTTTTTCCCTCCTTCCCTATCTCCCTCCTCATTCCTAACTCCTCCTTCCTCTTCTTTTCCTCCTTCTCATTCCCATTTTCTTCCTTTCTTCTTTCCCCCCCTCATTTCCCTGCCTCTCATTCCCATCTCTTTCCTTCCTTTTTCCCTCCCTCCCTCCTTCTCATTCCCATCTCCTGCCTGCCTGCCTGCGCTGATCCTGGCACTTCTGCTGAGCCCTGACAGCTGATTGGCACTTCTGCAGGGTTGTCAGGGTTCAGCAGAAGCATCAGGATCAGCGCAGGGCTCCAGCTGATTGGCACTTCTGCGGGGCTGAGCAGAAGCGCCAGGATCAGCACCGGGCTCCAGCTGATCCTGGCACTTCTGAGCCCCGCAGAAGCGCCAATCAGCTGGAGCCTGGCGCTTATCCTAGTGCTTCTGCTGAGACCTGACAGCCCTGCAGAAGTGCCGATCAGTTGGAGTCCAGTGCTAATCCTGTTGCTTCTGCTGAGCTCCGCAGAAGCGCCGATCAGTTGGAGCCCGACGCTGATCCTGGCGCTTTTGCTGAGCCTTGACAGCCCTGCAGCTCCAGCCGTCTCTTGTCGCTGCTTCAGCTCATTCCCCTCCCCATTACCACTTCTCTAGGATGGTCACGTACCACCTGCCAGGTGCCAATGTATCTAGGTTGAAAAACCCTGGTCTAGAAGACCTCCAAGGTCCCTTCCAGGTTTATTCTGTATCAAGTATGTATTGAGTCAAACATAATAATAATAATAATAATAATAATAATAATAATAATGATGATGATGATGATGATGATGATGTTGGAAAGTAGCAACAATGGTGCATTGGAAGATCTGCAAAAAATATCATTTGCCTGTAAGCAAAAACTGGTGGGATCATAAAATAGAGAAAGTCATAGAAAAATGATAAAATTAAACTGCTCTGGGACTTCAGAATTCAAACAGACAAGCACCTGCAACATAACACCCCAGACTTAACAATTGTCGATAAGAAAGACAAAAAAGTCTGGATAGTGGATGTGGCAGTGCCTGGAGACAGCAGAATAGACGAGAAAGAAATGGAGAAGATAACAAAATACAAAGACCTACAAATAGAAATAGAAAGACTGTGGTAAAAGCAAGCAAGGGTAGTACCAATAGTAATAGGTTCCTTGGGTGCAATCCTAAAACAACTGGAGCACCACTTGAACACCATTGGCATTGACAAATTCGCTATTAGTCAATTGCAAAAGGCGGCCTTACTAGGAACTGCTTCCATCCTGCGACGATATCTGTAATACCATCAAACATCCACATCTGCCTATCCCAGGTCCCGGGTAAGGACTCGATAGGTAGACAAAATGCCAAATCCAGTCTGAACATCTGGCTGACTGTGCGATGATCCATAATAATAAAGTTGGAAGGGACCTTGGAGGTCATCGAGTCCAACCCCCTGCTCAGACAGGAAACCCTATACCATTTCGGACAAATGGCTGTCCAGTTTCTTCTTGAAAACTTCCAGTGTTGGAGCATTCACTGCTTCTGGAGGCAGGTTGTTCCACTGGTTAATTGTTCTAACTGTCAGGAAGTTTCTCCTTAGTTCTAGGTTGCTTCTCTTTTAACTTAAAAACTTAAGTTTTTATATTCTTTAATTAGTAACTTAATGCTAATGAAGCTATTTTTCTCATGCAGGTGGATGGGCTCCTTTCCCAGATGGCCAGGGGAGAGCTTGGTATGGATCGAGCTTTGCGTCCTCTCCAATCCCTGGTTGTTCACTCTCCAGCTCCATATGAAAGAATTTCACCTCCTACTTTGCATGGAATGGAATATCTGAACCTTCAAACTTAGAAAAATTAAATAGGTAGGGATTTCTATTTTGTTAGGCTAGGCATGGCACAGACTTCAGCCTGGAATGGATATCTTTCATCCTTGATTAACAGCTGAGAAATTTCTGATATTGTCTAATACCAAGATGCAAAAAAGGAGCTAGCATGAAAGATGCATGCTGATTTTTTTCATAGCATTTGTGACATGGTGAAGCCATCCATGCAGGTGTCCCAAATATGCCTCTTCAAAAGTCAGTTGGAATTTCTGTGGGGTTTTTTTTTTCTGTTGAAAAATTTTGCTTCTAATCCAAAAATATCTTTAGTTCTTGGATGAGAAACGAAAGGTCTTCAAGGAGGGGGGGACACAGAAGGTCAGTTGTCTTTTGAAAAAGCATCTTTGGGAACTGAGAATCTCTGCAGACATCCATGTAGATATTTTTGCTTTTCAGTTGGTTTGTTGTTTAAGTGTGAAAGGACATAAATAGCCTAAGGTCACTTAAGTGGATTCCATGCCTAAGGGAGAATTAGAACCTAATCTCTTTGCTCTTATATTCATGGTGATTTAAACCTTCTTATTTAAAAGGAAAGGAAATGTGTGAGTGCACTCATGTCTCTATGAATGTATACAACTCTTGTAATTTTTGATATTGAACAATAAAAAACTATATTTTTGAAATGCTTTTTAAATGATAACTTTAGTGTTCTTATTTCTCATGTCTTGTTACTGTTGATCCTTTCAACAAGCTCCTTTGCTGAGGATAGCCTTTGACAATACTGTCACTCAGAGTCTCATTCCCCTTCAGCCCTGGAAAAAGAAGAAAATGTTTTTTCTATGGTTTTCCAAATTAGTTTTTATTTCTTTTAATTTGATAAGTTTCCAAAAAACAAGTATAAAAAGGGCCCTCAATCTGTCTTCTCTTTTTTCATCCTTTTCAGCTAAGCCATTTTCCAATTCATCAAGCAAACTTAGGGCTACCCAGAAAGATAATCCTCTTTATGTCTATTCCTTTCTCCCTCTTAAATAAGAAATCCTCTCTCTTCCCTTTCTCACAAACAAAGCAACCTCTCTTGCTTTATATTATATTCCCTATTTGGAGTCTAGTTTTGCTGCTCCTCTTACATATGTCTGCATATGTATTTATGAATGCTACATTTTTAAGAGACATTTGTAAATCTCTAGCTATAGTATTTCTTTGTTATAGCAAGAAGCCATAATGTTACCTTTTTGTGCTTTTTCATTGAATTTACTTGCTTCTCCACCTTTGAACTAACTTTGTCTTTCTCTCACTGAACTAAATTCATTAAATACCATGAACAGCTGAAGATTTCTGTATAACTGCTATTTGCATCTCACTGGATGCGAAGTATTAATGGCTTTGTATGCTATTAGCTTGAATAATTCTTTAATACATTTTATAGATATTAATTATGGTTTCATTTTTTTGCCTTCTAGAATGCATATACCTGTTTAATAACCCATTGTAGTCAGGTTCTCAACACAACTGGTATTGTAGAAAAATTTACTTTTTATGACTATGGTTAAGCAAATATATCTTAGCTGTTTTATAAACCTAGCCTTCACTTAAATTTGTGAATAAATTATTTGAGGATTTGCTTGTTATCTTATTTTGCTGAGCCCCATCCACCTCAAGAAAAGTCTCTCTTAAGTTTTACTGGGGCAGAATAGGGAACAGCTGAGAGCACAGCTGTCATTGGAAAATATAGTTATAGCAGGAGGTTTTAAGAATGACAGAGCTCATGATAGAAATTGCTTGATAGAAATTGGCTACTCTCCTAGGGGAAAGCATTGTATGGAAAAGGTCATTAAGCTAAATTTAGAGTTGAAAGCAACTGTTGGATGCTAAAATGAATTTGGATTCAAATGGGATTTATAATATAAAAATAAACCTGGTAAGGTTAGTGCTTTCCTGTAATGATTGTTACCCAAATTCTTATCTCCCTATTAATTATTGAATGTCAGCACTTCTAATAAATCACCAATTTTCATTAATAAAAGTCTCTCAACAGCTAAAATCTTCTGCTAAATATCCTGGCATTCTCAACTAAGTCCTCTCCTTAGTGCAGTGATTCTCAACCTGTGGGTTGCGACCTTTTTGGGGGTCGAATGACGCTTTCACAGGGGTTGCCTAAGACCATCAGAAAACACATGTTTCCGATGGTCTTAGGAACTGAGACACCGCTCCTCTGTCTGGCCACCGCCGCCGCCCTCCTCCGGCTTCTCCAACAGCGCCGGCTCCTGCCACTGTAGAGCCATCGTGTGCACCTCCGATGCCACCTTGGGCTGGCTCAGCTGCATGGGCAGCCGAGCCGGGTCTGGGCCGCTGCTGGTGCTGCCGCTGGGCTGCTCCGCTGCTGCCGCCACTTCCAGCTAAGCTGAGCTATGGCGCCAAGCCGGTTTCCATGCCTCCTGGTTGCCTGGCCATGCTCCGCCCCCAGCCACCCTCTGCGCCGCGCGGGAGCCTCCCCCTGCACCACCCGGCCCGCCTCCCTTGCCGTCAGAGGCCGCCTCGGTCCTCTAGCGCCTGGCGCGGCCATGGGGCTGCCAGACAGGAGCGGCTTCTTCCTGGCTTGCTGGGCTCCGGAAGTGGCCAGGGAGCAGGGAAGAGGGCGAGATGGTGGCAATGCTCACATGTGCATTGGAGGCCAGCCGGCCAGGCCGGGAGGGGAGAAGCAGCGCCTTCTGAGCAGGAGCACCTCTGTCACTACCTCCATTTCTTCCCCATCTATTTGCCAGGAATTGAGAGGGCCAGATGCAATGATTTTGGTTTTCTTATTTGGTTTTCCATTCTGCCTACTACCCCCAAATGGCCACAGTAGCAGCAGTGGTGGGGTATATGAAAATGGGATGCACCTGGCTGCCACCACTTCCCCACTGACTATCCTGCTCATTGCCACTGCCACTGAATGGCTCAAATACTACTGTTGCCAGCATATGGGTAAATCCTGAATAGCCTGGAGTGTGATGTAGCAGCAACTGTGGCGCAGTGGCTGTCATGGTGGCAGTGGCAGCAAGGGTTATGAAAATGGAAAGGCCATGGATAGAAATTTCAGAGACTAAATAGTAAACTAAACATCTGAAGATATCCCAAGTGGAAATAGTAGCTTAATAGCAGAAGAGGTCACAGGAAGGAAGAACATTCATTTCTCTGTCAATCTCTCCTTCATGGATTATTGCCTTGTTGTGGCGAAGGGGTTTGCATAATTCAATGAAGCTATGAGCTATGCCATGCAGGGCCACCCAAGATGGACAGGTCATAGCAGAAAGCTCTGACAAAATGTGATCCACTGGAGAAGTAAATGGCAAACCACTCCAGTATCTTTGCCATGAAAATCCCATGGACAGTACTAAAAGGCAAAAAGATATGACGCTGGAAGATGAGCCCCTGAGGTCGGAAGGTGTCCAGTATGCTACTGGGGAAGAGCAGAGGGCTAGTACTAGTAGCACCAGAAAGAATGAAGCGACTGGGCCTAAGCGACTGAGCCTAAGCCAGTAGGCCACACCCACTCCATCCATGCCCACCCTGGCCATACCCACAATGTATGGCCAGGGTGGGCATGCAACTGCAATGCTGATGCAGCCCTCAATGAAATTGAGTTTGACACCCCTGCTCTACATATCATCCACAAGCATCTCCACACCAATAACTTAGAAGAAGTTGTGAAATATATGAGTCAATTTACATGAAGCATTTTACCAGACATATTGCCTTTTTTGTATGTTTAAAACCCCATTTTTTTTACCCTATGGAGTATCTTGTTGATCAAGGCAGAAGCACAGCATCATCTTTTATCCGGATCATAAAGGGAAACTTTTTTTAAAGGATATCTTCTCTTCAGAAACAAACCAAAACAAGAATTATGTTTTGGTGGTAGTGGCCCATGTTACACCATTGTTCCGCAATTGCTTCAGTTTGCTTCCAGTTCAAAATATTAGTTATCATCCTTAAATCTTTCATGGCATGGATCCGAGTTATTTGAGAAACCCGAATGGGATGTTCTGTTTCCAAAAATATTGGATTAAACAATAAGTACACGCTTATTATTTGTACATCCATACACATATACACATGTTCAATTGAACATGTTGTTATTTCTAAATATAGTTATGCCTGCTCACAGGCAACCCAAGATTTACATCTCTTTATTCCAACAATAATACATCATAATTTATAGTACCATAAAGTATAACACCCTTCTTTTGAGTGTATACTGATTGATAGAGAACTACTAGGCTTCCCCCATACTTGACAGGAACCTCACATAGTCCTTTAAGTGTTTGGGTGGACCCTTGGCCTGCTCTGACCTTCTTGGATCCAGTGTGTGTACCTGGCCTGCCAGCTCACCTGCCAGGCTAGGCAGACCAGAACTTTGATGCCCCATAGACCCAGGCGACCCCCCACGCTGCTGACTGGCTAGATCCTCTGAACCCAAACCAGAGTTCCTTGGGGGGGTGGAATTCCCCATGTCCAATGGTGGGGTGGAATTCCCCAAGGCCACAATGGACCCCTCTTGGGAGCACTGTCCCTCAAGCCCAAGACCAGCAGGTGGAGTAGCCTGAGAAGCCGATTGACAGCAATATCCCATTGACCCGGTCCCTGTGCCAGAGTCAGGAGTCGCCTCCATGGCACAACCCCCATCTGGAACATGTGCTGCAGCATGTGAAGGTCCGCTTTGGCAGAGAGACTGTGGTCCACAATCTCTCTCAAGGCATCTTGGAAAGGGACATCTTCTTTGGCGAAGATCTTCTGCTGCAGCTCATGATTTCTTAGTCCACAAACTAAATGATTCCGCAGCCTCTCTTCCAGGTCGTTGAATTCACATGGCCTAGCTGCTTGTCAGAGCGCAGCAATAAAGTCCACAGCAGACTCACCAGGCCTCTGGTCCCTCTAATCAAATGCGTGTCGCCATGCAATCACTGAGAGCTTGGGTTTGAAGTATTCTTGTAGCATCTTCTTTAATTCAGCGTAAGTAATTGATTCCAGTGGTGCTGGGGTGACCAGATTCTCAGCTATATCGAAAGTCTCTTGCCCACAGACATAAAGTAGCAGCTTTGAGGCCGTCTTCCCTCACTTGGTTTACTCGGAAGTAATTCTCCATTCGAGCCACGTAGGAACTCCAGCGTTCTGGTGTGATGTATCAAATCCCGAGAGACGACCGATTTTGGACATTGTTGCTGCCCTGGAGCTTCATCAACGCCTCTAGCTGCAAGGTTTGAGAATGGGTCCCTCTTGCTGAGCTCACCTCCAGCGTTCTCGTACTGGCAGGCAGAGTCACAATCTCTGGACGCCGAACTTCCCAGCACTTCAGGCCTCCCTTTGTGAGTCAGCCTAGCTTTTTCTTTGTTGTTTTCCTTGCCTGGGAGCGCCATGCATGCGTGGTGCTGCCCCCTGCGCCGGCCGTGGCGTAGCTGGCAAGAGGCAGCAACGGCACAGGGCGACCACCGGCTGGGCCACCAGCTGGCCCAGCCCAAGGGAGGTAAGGCACCCACCGGGCCCCACGCGCACCAGCAACCCTCCCTGTGCACACCGGCCTCCCACCTCACACCCCTGGCCCTCTTTTACTTACATTTTTAGTAGTTGCTCAGCAGGGAGGGGTGGAAACTTCCAGACAGCTCGCCTTCGCTACAGACAACTTGCAGCACCATTTGCAGAATGGGACTTTTGGCGGGCTCAGCAGGGCAGAGACAGCCTGGACAATTCCTATTGGCTTTCAAAAGCCAATAGAATAAAAGGGAGTAGCACAGCTAAGGAAAAGAGGGAAAAAATGGTGGACTGCGTTATTTGGCGACTCCCGTGAAATGGTCGTTTGACCCCAAATGGGGTCACGACCCACAGGTTGAGAACCGCTGTTCTAAATACTTCCTTACTCATTTGATGAATGATTTTTGAACATTGCTAAGTACAGTAACATTTTATCTGGGGGGGGGGAAATAAAACATTGTGATTTGGGCTCTGGGACATGTCTTTTGATATATTTGGGTGTGTGTCTATGCACGTATGTGTGTGTGTGAGAGAGAGGGAGGGAGGGAGAGACACAGAGAAAGACACACAGAGAGAGAACTTTTAAAACAAATATTTTAAGTGCTCTTCATTCTTTTATATTTTGTGGGGTTTTGTTGTACAGATTTGTAATATCCTGTACCATTTGTTATAGCACATATGCAAACACACAGTAGATACACTCACATAATATTTTACTTTGTGTTATCCAAAGAACAAATAAAAGAATGGGCAACAAATCACTTTCTCTACAAGTTTTCCTTCCATAGCAGTGGTTCTCAACCTTTTTAATGCCGCGACCCTAACCGGTCGTAAGTCGAGGACTACTCAACTGGTGCAGCACCATTTGCAGAATGGGACTTTTGGCAGACTCAGCAGGGCAGAGACAGCCTGGACAATTCCTAATGTCCTTTTGAAAGCCAATAGAATTAGACTCTATTCAAGAGAGTCTATTCTATTGGCTTTCAAAAGCCA